TAATTTTACTATGAGTAAAAAATTGTATGGAAATTATTTACGTTCCAAGTACTTTAGATTTAAAATTCCATTAATATAATACCTTTAGCATAAGAACATTGAATTTAATAAAATGCCATGAACACTATTTAATGCTTCTTGATGGTTTTGCAGAAATTACGGTGCTCGTTTATGGAGTTGCACCCAATTTTTTCAGGCTAAAGTTTTAGTTAAAGCCCAATGGATGCGATTAAAGTGATATTGAAAGTTTGGTATGCAAGTAGCAAAGCGGCTGCTTGTAGTCAGCGCTGCACTTTTTGCAATGAATTTATATACGAAAACACTTGGCTTAGCTATTACCAATGTCCGTGCAATGCATTGCCATAGTAATACTACCAACAACAACAAGAACAACAACAACAACAACATGTAGATAAATTTTTCACAGTAGCGCGCACACTCTTTTCCAATAAATGCATTGATTTCTGTACGAAGATTAATTGGCAAATTCGCCATAAACTGGCAATTAATCAATTGAAATTATCAGCTACGGTAGCAGACGCTTCAGGCGTTATTCGGGCCGCATGCATAAGCCTTTTTATATTCAATATAAACGTACTTTTACCATTCTCATTAAGTTTCGATCGCTAAAATCGCTTAGCTCCTCTCTCAGCTACGTTTTACAGCTAAGTAAGCATATATTTGCTCTAAATTAAGTTTTGTTGCTTGCAACACTACAGAAGCCATAGGCGTTTCACTACATTTTCCTAGGGGTGAAATGTTACACATTATTCAGATTTTAAGTGACCATTTAGAGAAATAAATTTGTATAATGTCTACTACGATTTTTATATTTTTAATTTTTACACACAAAAAAAAAGAAATGAGTTAAAATTTGAAATGCAATGTAAAGTATCTAAGGTAATCCTCTTCTCGTTATTTGCTGTGTGGGCGCTCATGTGCATTTCGTATAAAAATTTTTACTTTACGTTGTTCCATGATTGTAGGTTTGAGTGTTAATAACGTGTTTTATGTCAGATTGATGACGAAGTGCAACGCCATTGCACATAATTACCACTGTTGTCCCAGTAATTTTCATATTGGAAATTTTTTGTTTAAATATTTAAGAGGCGGGAATACAAAGAATTTAGCTCGTAACTCATAAAGGAAGCAGTTATAAGAAAATATTAAGTAAATAAACGGTTGGCTATGTTGGTTTTAATTAGTACTTTTAAGTTACAGGGTGCGTTCACAATAAAGATGAACATTTCAAGGTAATATTTAAAATTTAAAATCCTCGCATATTTATGAGGAAAAACGAAATCGAATTTTTAAGGTGAAAACAGTTAATAATTAATTTTTAATATGCTATTAAATAAAATTGCGAAAACATAAGATAAAAGCAAAAAATTTCAATATTTATTGCTAAAACAATGTTCTAAAGATTTTACATCAAGATTTAAAAAAATACAATTGCTTATATTTTTAAAATAATTGATTTTACAGTAATGAAGGATACAGTAATGCTTACCTTTATTCATAAAAAAATTGTTGTAAATCAAAAATAATACAGTAAGACCCCGCTTAACGCCTGGAATACGTTTCACCAAAGTAGAGCGTAATGCGAAACAGCGCTAAATGAGGCTATGTTAATATGTAAATATTGGGGTTAGGGGAAGATTGATAGAAAATTGCATAGGTATTAAATTTAATAATTATGTTTTTTTTAATAATAATAGAACCAAATATTTATTTCTTACAAAAACAAAAACAATGTTATTCAGTCTCTTCTGTGTTTCCAATCTTCTGCCTTTTTTGTCAAGACGATTTTTCTTTTGCGTTTTGTTAGAAGTTGTTTATAAGTGGATAAAGCATCTATAACATCCCGTCTTGCTTTTGTACTCCTGCAAAAATTTGTGTCAATTTCAACAAATTGGTTCAAAATTTCAGTTGTAGTGTTCAAATTCCTTTTCACAAACAATATCGAAAGTTCTTTTTCCTCTTCTTCGAAATCACTGCTATCAATATTTTTGTTTTCTTCTTGCTCAGTTGAGCTAATCATTAGAAAAACTATCTGCTGTTTCCTGAACTATTTCTTTGACGTCTTCCACCGGTTCGTTTCGCTAATTTCACTATTTCTATCACTATTTGATCCATATCGATATTCAATGTCTTCGCTCTTATTTAAATCTGGTCAAATGTTCTTCCATACTCTTTTCTAAAATCTTTCTGTTATCTCATTCCAAGAAAGGTTTATGTTTTCTACAACATTCATGATATTGTAGTTTTAACAAAATTCTTTTATTGATTGCCTCTCTTCTCCATCTGTTTTTTCAAACATCTGCTTAAATGTTCGAGTTGAAATAAAAGAGCGCTAAACCGAAACATCATTAAACGAAACAGCGTTAAGCGGGGTCTTACTGTAATATTTTATTTCACGTCAACTATGTTTTGTGGTACCCACACAATATTTAGTTTTCATTGATTATTTTAACCGGTTTTTCTAGAGAAGTAATAACGGCCTCAAATGAAGCAATGTCTAGAGTAGAAATATTTTTTAGGACCTTTAAGTAACGGCATATAGCGTAGTCTAAAAATTAACTTAAAATACCTGACTTTACTAAAATTCATTGTTTAATCGGCAATGCCTGGAAAATTGACAAACAAATTCTTGAAAAGAACAAAATCTTGAGAAGGAGATGCCAATGTGGGATCAAAACCGTTTTTTAAATAATTGAGGAATCGTGAGGTGGACAAAAAATATTTCACTCTGAACATTGCATTATCGTAGACATTTATCATTCGTTTAAAAAACTACATATACATAAACTACATATATCAATAATTACTAAATAAAGATTATATTCTAAGACATTGAATCTTAAACTAGCGATCTTTTTACATTCTTTATACTCAGTAAAATTACAACGCCATCTGGTGCCAACTAGTGGATTTCACTTTTAAATTGATTATACAAATCGCTGTCGTAATCTGGCGTGCCTACTTCTTAGTAGAACATCAACAATAAATGTAGGGAGATTTATAAAAACATCAATTTGATGCTACTTCTCACTGTCTTACGGAAATCTATAAGATTTGTATTATTTATAATAGTATTCATTGTTTTATGGCAGCGATAACATGTATGAATGGATAAATCTGGACTTGGGATTATTTGTAATTTGCATAAAACAAATTTTTTGGCATGACATTTTTGGCAATCTTTTTCTATTTGATTTGAAAATGTTGTTTTATATATGATTCAGATGATTTAATTTAGTTATCATTAAGACTTCATTTAAATAACTGTAGTATTATTTTAATGTTACCATTTGCCGTACATAGTTTTCGCACATAGTTTTACATAGGTCCATACAGATACAGTCAACTCGTTATAAAGAGGATATAGAGAGGTATATACATTTGTGTTTTGATGTACTCGAACATTTGCTGTACGTGACACTGTGTCCATTGATGAACTTTTATATTCTACCCTATCCATATAATAACGTGTATCCAGCTGTATCCAGAAAAGTCTTCATCTGATTTGGGGATCAATTTTTTGTGAAAATTTACTTTTCTATATTGCACACTCTAAATCCATAACCGTTGACATGGTACATAAATCGATAGTATCTCGGTCAATATCTGTTTTAACGGAACACTTGACTATAGGATGGCCCGGCTCGGTCTACCCTGTCAAATTTCATGTAATACATATTTGACGGTACTCGAGGACAACAACCTGGAGCTTCTGTTGTGTCTATATCCAGGTTTGTCCTTAACTAAGCTTAAGCTTTTGGTCGCTCCATTCTTTAACATAGGTACTTGACGATATTTGCAATATTAGTATTAGTCAGATACTTGCATTTATCAATGCATGCGGCTGGTTCTTATGTGCCCATGCTTCTACCAACAGTTGGAAACAAAAATAAAGCCGAGGAATGTAGAAACAAAGTGGCTTTCTTAACTAATTGAGGATTCGTTCATCTCTTCACTTCACCTACCTAATTATTGCATAAGATCAGGGTATTCTACAAAAATATGTAAGAATGTTTCTGTGTCTTCAATATATAGTCTGCATTCGGCGTTTATCGAAAGTCCTAACCGCAGCTTATTTTTATTTATATGACTGTGACTGATTTTCATTCCAATCTCTGTCTTTAAATCTAAACTGTTCAGATTCTGTCCAGATTAAATCTGTTCAGCTTGAAGTTCAAATGTTAATTCAATAAACTTACTATTTGGTGGTTTGAAAAATTTTGGCAAACATAAAAAAATATAAGATAAATAGAAATACGATAATTTATTCAATATTCTCTTATACGAAGTTATATCTATGTTACGTTTCACTATAGGTTAAAATAAGAGGAGTGTCTTCTAATGCGTGTCATATCTTCAGGCATTCGTACAAATATTTGTATTAAATTCTTAAAGATATAATGGAGGTGAAATTGAAAAATCTATTTATTTATTAATTAGTTTATATTGCACGATGCATTAATATTTAAACTAATGCATTCGTGCATATTTTGCTTGTGTAGATACTTTTTGAGGTGTACGAATGTGCTTAGAAATGGCGCCATTTAGCTTATCAATTCGAACGCTTCTGTATCCCCGCCATTGGCTGCCTTTAATATTTTATGGATTTTACTGTTTTTATGCAGCCTTGGAGCAACAAGTGCCTCAGTTGTGTCTATTCGTGTTTAATATGCTATTATTTTCTGTTTCAAATTATGCTTTAAAAGCAACATTTTTGTGGCAAGCATTTCTAAACGGGACGATATTACTCGAGTTAGCAGTGTCGAGCAATCTTTTGCTGCTGCCGCTGTTGAAGCTGCTGGTGGTGGTGCTGATGTTGTTGATGCTGCTGATGCTGCTGATTC